ACCTGGACATGCTGGAGAAATGCACTGGCAGGAACCTCATGGAGTTCAACGAAGGCAAGTGCAAAGTTCTGTATTCATGATAGAACAACCCTATGTAACAAGACAGGCAGGACACTACCCAGATAAAAAGCAACTTTTGCAGAAAAGTACCTGAAGATCCCAGCAGGCAAAAAAATGAAAACGGGTCAGCGGTTGTACCCTCACAGCAAAGGCAGCCAAGCACACCCTGGACTCCATTAGCAGGAGTCTAGCCGGCAGGTCTGGGGAAGCGATCCATCCCCTCTATTCAGCACCTGTGAGACTGTTTGGAGTACCATGTCCAGTTTTAGGCTCCCTGCTACAAGACAGACGTTGACACACTGGAGCAAGTCCAGTGGAGCCCCCTGAGCTGGAGAGATGGCAGGAGCACCTGATGTACAATGAGGGGTTGAGGGAACTGGATTTGGTTCAAGCTGGAGAAGGACAGCTTGAATCTTACTGCTGTCTACAACTACTACATAAGAGGACTCGGAGATGCAGCCAGACTCTTTCACCAGGCTGAGAGGCAACAGACACCAGACACAAGTTGGAACCTGGGAAATTCTGGTTAGATGAAAGGATGGTTTTGATGGGTTGGTTGGCTTCTTTGTTTTTAAACCATGAGCATGGTCGAGTAGTGGAACAGGTTGTCCAGAGAGATTCTATAATCTCCTTTCTTGAAGGTGTTCAAAACTACCTTCCAACTCAGGACCCTGAGTGACCCGATCCAGCTAGAGCTGCTTTGAGTAGGAGGTCGGACTAGATGATCTCTAGAGGTCTCTTCCAGCCCAGAGTATTCTATGATTCTATGCTGATGCCATGCAGCACGATGCTCACTGCGGAAGTGCGATCCTTCAGGCTTGCTTTAAACAGAGACTGAGTTGAAGGAATTGGTTCATGAGGCATCCACAAAGTGAGTTTTTTGTGAATCACATGGCAATCCAAAACAAACAAAAAACCTGAGAGGCTTACTCTTATCTGTAAGTATTCTTAAAGGCTATTTGTGTGTACACACATTTATAACCTAGCCCCTCAGGTTTGCTCCCTTGAGATGTCTGCCATCCTCCTCTTACTCTGATGAGGCATAAGTTTTATTATCTAGTTGAATGGCTCTGAGAGGTTAGGGCAAATAAAGGAAAGGAGTGCACAATGCATCTAGCAGAAGCAATCTGTGGCATTCCCAGCAGAATAAGGGTGGATAAAATCATGGTCTGGCTAATGCTGCTGATTTATAGCTGCTATAAAATGTGAGAAAAATGTATACAAGCACACCTCAGAGAAGAACATCTACAGTTAAATATCCCTCCCACAGCCTCTTTTTTTTTCTTCCCCCCCCCCCTAATTTATACCTAAATGCTTACACAGGTTAGTATATGTTAATAGTCTTTAGAGTGGAAACAAAGTAGAGATTTTTAAAGCTGTTTATTCTCTATCCTTTGCCCTGTTCTATTTTGAAGTTTGACGTTAGTATCTTTTGAAAGGGAGCATATGGCATTTCTAATTAAGGCCTGTGATTTTCTGACATATAACTGAATAATACATTCCAAATACTGTTAAGCCTTCCAGATGAAAGAATTTTTAGGGCTGAAACACTGTAGCTTTGTGATGTATCTTGCTGGAATAGGTATGCTATGTAACACTGATCTCCTTAAGAACTTCGAAGAATTTTGCATGGAATACTATTGTAGTGAGAAAAGAAGGGGTTTGTTTCTGTTGTCAGATGTTGGTATTCCTTGGCAAGCTCAGGTTTGGATCAGGTAACAACTAGCGTGCTTTGTTCCTGAAAGTATTCAGTGTAGCTTAATTTTTAAATGTTTGGGTCTGTTTGGGGATTTTATTCATCTTTATCAGATTTTGTTTCAGACTGCAAGATTTGTTTGTGTATGTTTTCAGCAGTAGCTCTTGTAGAGACGCACTGTAGTTCTTCAAGTCTCTCCAAAGTAATTCAAATCTCTCCTTTCAGAATTTTGTGCTGAATTGTCTACCTTGAATGTGTGAAACCTGTCTGAAATTGTGGTTTATGATAAATTTCTGGTGTAAGCCAGGTTTCTTGAGTTTCTTGATACGTGCCAGTATCATTAACACATACCTTGTGTCTCTGAATGGCCAATGTATTCGGTCTAGAGAAGGTTTCCTCAAAATTGTTTTTCCTTGTTTCCATGGGAAGTATAAGGGCTGCATTTATAATTGATCTCTTTGATATGGTTAGGTAAATCAGGAGAGGAGAGAATTTAACAAATGTAATGCAGTTAATTGCTTTAACTTAACTTTGTTTTAGATATTACGAGGTCTGGGTGGTAAGCAAGATTTTCCTTTACAATATTTTTGGTAATTTTAAAATGAAAGTTGAGTCTTCAAATACATTTCTTCCACTGAAACTTTAATGGGTTCCTTTGGTTACTGGGAAACTTTTTAAAATTATGTCAAATGTTAGTTAAAATGATAATTTTGGGGGTTTTAGATCTTCATATTTCCATCTTTAGATCTAGTGAATGTATGCAAAAGATTGGGAAACCTTAAAATCAAGTTTCCTGTAGATTTATGATGAGTGTGTGTGGGTTTTATTTTTATTTGTTTGTTTTTAAATTCAAAGGGGAAGTATTTAAATGCAGGTTGGTCTTGTATTTTGGGGACTGTAAAGCTGTACATATAGCTCCAAGCTAAAGGATTTCACTAATCTAATATTCAATTTGAAGTACAAAGAGATTTCTGATATGCTTCTCTCAGGGCAGCATTTTTGCTGTTAATTGTCCTTGAAATACAGTATATGCTATCTTTGTCCTCATGGTTCATTGTCAAATTCAAGCACTGATGATATTTTTAGTGATGACTTGTATTTGACAGTTGCTGAGACTATAAATTAGAAACGTGTAATTGAAATGAGAATGACAAGGATGAAGACTTAAGAGGATAATTGTACAAGTACTGAAGATCATTCTCTACCTGAACTACTACTGTTGTCTACACAAAGTTGGAGTTGAAGTGTTTAATGTACCTGAGGAATTAAAAGAGATTAGGTCAGCAACCAAATGTGACTAAGCTGTGTTGAAGAGAGTATCTATGGGATTTTGGGAGTGGATGTAGCTTTGGTTCTCCTTTTTTGTTTAATTTTAGCTTCTTGTGACAGCTCAGTTCATAGGAGAGAACAACCTTGGAGACCCTCTTAACATCTAAACTGTCTGTAGCTTCAGAGGCCTCAGAGGATTATGGGGCTGTTGCAGTGTCTCTTTTTAGGCTGTGTTTCATAGTAAAGATGCTGAGAATTGGAGCCCTGTCAGTGTTTGGTGGTGTTGAAATTGTACTCATGTTTAATTTTTAGCAGTGTTTTATTCAGATAAAACTGGAAAAAGTCCAAATAACGGCAAAACCATGTTCATGTGAGGAGCTGCTCTAGAGTTAGACTTTTTAACTTACTGTGGACAGCTACATAGACCCATAAGACACTTGGAAATTGGATGGTTACTTGGATTGGATGGTTATTTGAGCACACTATCCCAAGCTCACATTATCCCTTCTGATTTTGTGTATTAGTCATATAATGACTTATGAAGTTCAACAAGGCCAAGTGCTGGGTCCTGCACTTGGGTCACAACAATGCAGCGCTACAGGCTTGGTGAAGAGTGGCTCGAAAGCTGCCCGGCAGAAAAGGACCTAGGGGTGTTGGTCGACAGCCGGCTGAATATGAGCCGGCAGTGTGCTCAGGTGGCCAAGAAGGCCAACGGCATCCTGGCCCGTATCAGGAATAGTGTGGTGAGCAGGACTAGGGAAGTGATCAACCCCCTGTGCTTGGCACTGGTGAGGCCCCACCTTGAGTACTGTGTTCAGTTTTGGGCCCCTCAGTACAAAAAGGACATTGAGGTGTTGGAGCGTGTCCAGAGAAGGGCTACAAAGCTGGTGAGGCATGTGGAGGACAAGCCTTATGAGGAACGACTGAGGGAACTGGGGTTGTTTAGCCTGGAGAAGAGGAGGCTGAGGGGAGACCTTATCACCCACTACAACTTCCTGAAAGGAGTTTGCAGAGAGGTGGGGGCTGACCTCTTCTCCCTGGTGACAAGCGATAGGATGAGAGGAAATGGATTCAAGTTATGTCAGGGGAGATTTAGATTGGATATTAGGAAACATTTTTTCTCTGAAAGGGTTATTAGACATTGGAATAGGCTGCTCAGGGAGGTGGTGGATTCTCCATCCCTGGAGGTGTTTAAAAAAAGGGTAGATGTGGTGCTTATGGACACGGTTTAGAGGTGGTTTTGTCAGGGTAGGCTGATGGTTGGACTTGATGATCTTAAAGGTCCCTTCCAACCTTAGCGATTCTATGATTCTGTATCCCTCCATAAGTATTTTATTCTTTATACTTACAAGGTTTCTTGTCCTTCGAAGCATTCTTTTGTATTCTATGCAATATGACCTTTAATGGCACAGTGTTGTTTTTACTGCTCATCCATGAACTTGTTTCAAAAAAAATTATTATTTTGTGGTTCTGAGTAGGCTTCTTGAGATCGGAGTACCACATGAGAGCAGAATGGGATGTAAGGGATGCAGTGTAATGAAGTAGCGTTATCTACTGTGTTTTAAAAGAGAGTTCTCTTTATGTGAAGTCTGGAGTGGATGCGACTTTTGGATAATACTGCATTGTGAAATTTCATTAAATGGATAATTGTCAGCCTTGAATCTTTTCTCACATAATGCTTTTCTAGATCCCAGCCCTTTTTCCTGTAACAGTGCTGTGAATTATTCCCTAGTCTTGTTCTCTTAAACTTTATGGTGACTTTATTAATACACTTGGTTTGTCAAGTCTTCTGAACATTCTTTATGGTTCCACTAATATTGTCTATTTATTTTTGTGTTTTTAAAACTGATATGTGAGAACAATTTGTCTAAGACCTACATGTATGTATCTCTATTGTCTGTTCTCTTTGGTAAATCTGTGCATGCTTTTGTTTTCTCGTTTTTTTTTTTTTTGTTTGTTTGGTTTTTTTTTGCAGAGAGTGATAATGAACTCTCCAGTGGCACTGGTGATGTGTCAAAGGATTGTCCTGAGAAGATTTTGTATTCCTGGGGAGAATTACTGGGGAGATGGTAATGCTTCATTTCTTAAATTTAGATTTTAAACAGTAACCTTTTCTTTGTTTTATGAGACTATATGCTCTTGAGCAGGACATTTGAAATTCTTCAGCTTACACAGTTAAAAAACTAAAATACAAACCACATTGAAGTGTGTTTATTAAACCTATTTTAAAAGGGACTGGTAAATCCTCTTTATTTTAACTTACAGTTATTTGACAAGTCTCTCGCACAGTGTCTGCAAAAACCTTGTTTTGTTCAATGTTTGAGAATACATCCGTGTATGCTCACAGTGCAGATGTGAGTCTTCAAACGCAGAACTTTCTGGCCGGCTGTGTTCATTGGGTCTGGATGTTAAGCTCTCATGAAACTCTGTGCCTCTTAGTGCACTTAGAAAAGGTGGAGCAACTCCAGTCTGTCCTATCTAAGCCATTTGTCCTAGCTGACGTACATTTAATGGATTAATTTGTTTAGAAGCACTCTTTTTTTTTTCTTTTTTTCTTTTTTTTTTTTTAACGTGCTATATGTAAGCACTTGAAGAGCAATTCTAGAAAGACTGTTACCCTCACTGAAGCTGTTTCTCTTGGAGAGTAAAATGAAGAATATTTGTAAGCCTGGAGTATGTTCTCAACATTGTTATTTCTGTGCTTTAATTAAGTGCTTCAGTAGCAGCATATACTTTACCAAGAGAGGAAAAAGTCTGTTTTTGCTACCTCTGAGAGACCTTATACTATTAGCAAATGCCAGAACCACTTATTTGGTTTTCCCTATGTAAGTAATAGCTCCTGCTGCTTGAGACAAAAATAATCAGAAGCTCTGAATCTGGAATTGGCAAAGGTTCCTTTTCCTAACTCCAAAAAGAGAGCTGAAAAACATGTTAAGGACTTATTTGGTCAATTCCTCCCTTTACTGGACTACTTTGTAGCTTTGGAGGAACACAGCCTCTTGCTGCTGACCTCATCTTTAATGGAGATCTCACGCAAAGGTTACTAAATGAGACATCACAAGATTTTACTGAGCTTACTGGAACCCTTCCCTTCAGAACCCATCCCTCCTGCTTGTTTTTAACTATTTTGTCATCCAAGTTTCTGGCCTTAATGAAAGATCTTTTTGGGGAAACACAAATATTTAATGGAATAATTGTACAAATATTCTTACTGAGGAAAAGTGTGGAATTCAGTTGATTCCCTATAGACAAGTGTGTTTTCCTCACCTGAAAAGGCTGTAAACAGATCTGCTCTGGAGCTGTTTACAACTTTCCAAAGCCTGTTCTAAAGGATATCCCAAGAGAGAGTTTATAAATTGTTTGCAGTTTTATGTCTGGCACCCCAAGGACAAGGAGGAATGTCATCTTAAGTCCTTTAAGAACTGTGTGGCAGGTTTGTTTCAATCTGCATTGCATTTGCATTGGAAGATGCTAATTTTCTAGCATTTTTTGTAGGGTTTGGTTTTGGTTGGTTGTGTGGGGTTTGTTTGTTTGTTTTTTAAATTCAGCTGTTGGCCAATTCTTTTAGTTTTAACTTTTGTCCTTGAGAAATATCTGGACTCCTGTCCAGCATGCTGAAGTAGAGAACCGCCCACAGCTCATTCTCTCAAGTTTCACGTAACCAACCATTTCTTCAAGTTACTCAAGTATACTATTCAACGAGGCAAAACATTTAAGACTTTTGGAGTAAACTATTTTGAAGCCCAAATATAGCTTCTGCACTTAACTCAGAGAACCATTTAGTAGTTAAAACGCGTTAGTTAAAATAAGTTACAAATGGGATGAGAAATGGGAGATCCCAGCCAGCTTGAAGACTAGCAGTAGCAAACATTTTTTTTTAAGAGTGTCTCAAGCAATATTACCTTTTGAGATAAATTCAAGTGTATGAAATTCTTGAATTCTTGAATAGTGTTATGTTACAATTTAAGAACAAAACTTGGAAAGAGTAACAGATGAAAAATGTTAACAATTTGAAAACTAAAAATAGATTGAAATAAAATCTTCTAGTGTGTTGAAAACTGCAGCATATGCTAGTGGAATATCCGAGCACTTGTAAAAAAATTAAATAAACAAAAATTAACATTTCCACTTGGAGAACTGGTGTGCTGATTTGTCTCTTAGATGAAAAATTTCTTGCACTTAGATTGCTTCTTGTCATTTCATTAAAATGTCACTGTAACCTAACAGACTGACTCAGCAGAAGCATTGCTCCAAGAGTCTCCTTCAAACATACAAACAGGAATAAGAATGAGATAATTTACCAAGAAGGTAGAATAAACAGTTGGAAAGTAATGGAATATCTTTTAATTTATTTTATTGTTTACTGCATCCTCAGCATTAAAGTTGTCTTGCAAGCTGAGCTAGTTTATCTAAGTACCTAACTATTTCTGACGTGTTTTTTTTTTTTTTTTTAAAAAAA